TGTAAAAACATTGCCAAATCTTTAAATTTCTTCCTCTTCTTTCTAATTTCAAATGGAATGTCTTTTAAGATTCGAATAGTATTGCCATTGATTTTCAGTGTTGTTCCTGATGTTGCTTTCAGGATTTGGTCTCTCACATATATTTTTGAGAATCTAACCACTATTTCTCCAGGCAGATTATTTCTCATGATAAATTCAAAATAGGATCTATCTCGCTTTGAAGATATTCCAATTTTCAAATCTGCAACTGGTGCAAGAAGATCGCCAAACACTTGTTTTAGATACTCTCCTTTTGTCTCAGGGACCCCTTGGAATCTCAGGATGAAGCTTGCTTTTTCCATTTGTAGCTGTAAAAGCTGAGATTCATCAATAATTCTTTTCTTTTCCAACACCTGTACCCGCTTTTTCACCTTTTTAGATTTGGCATGAACTTCTTTCAGTGTCTCTGCTGTTTGCTCTGTTAACTTCTTAGTTTCATTCAATTCCATCTGTTGAGCAGCAAAATTCTGGTTCAAAGTAGTCAGTTACTGGTTGATGTTTATCATCTGGTCCAGCAGAGGGCGCAGAGACTCAGCTAATAGCTGTGAAAGCTTGTTGGTAGCTTCTGGTCGCGGGCTTCTACTTCCAGAAGGAGGCTTGAGCTGCGATGGTTTCTCTTTCTCGCCTCTCCGTCCCACCATTTTTGAGGATTGTTTACTTTTAGTAAAGTTTGCCAAAGTCTCTGTTATTCACCAGAACGCTTAACTGCACTCTTGTGTGCTTCTTAAATCAGTTCTTATAGCTTTTACGTCCGGCTCCCTCCTTTTAAAATGATCTGCTTAGATTTCACGTCTGGGAGTCCCCTCCCCCGCTCTCTTAGATCAAAGGGGCTTTCTGGTTGGAACTCGGTATTCTGCTTTCAACACAACTTACAGTTCATCGTTGGTCCTAAGACCTGCCAAAGGTACATGCAAAACGCCCGATCTTCACGCGCTTGCCCCGGTCAGCGACTCTCAATCCATACGGTCGCACAGCAGCAGGACCTTCAGGACGGAGGAAAGCCTCAATTCCCCGGCATCGAGCTGGAAAAGAGACAATCCCTCAAAAGCCCCATGGCTAGGAGTCCAAATGCAAGGACTCCGGGGGGGGGTAGCGGACAATCGCACCCCCTCCTAACCGCTGGCATACAGATCGTGACTCTGGGAGCTCTCCAGGGTCGCGTCCGCCATTGTGCCACCAAAAACCCGAAGTCCAAGGTTTTTTAGTTCTTAAAGAAAGCCTCCTAAACCTATTTGACCAGAGGCATCATGAATATAAAATAAATATGCATAAACCTTGGAAAACAAATCCTCCCTCAAAATACTTTTAAGTCTCTTAATTCTTGTCTCTCTTCAACTAACTGCAAATTAGTGTCCAGGATAACAGTATTGTGCCAGTACAGTATCATGGACCAGAATATTTATTGGTGTTGTATAGGGACATTCTTCTGCTTTGGACTGATAAACTGCTGGGAAGGATTGAGACTGAAATCTTAGGAACTAAAAAAGTGTATATGATATGATAGTTTAGAGATTTTTTAAAAGTGTTTAAAAATCCAGGGTACATTGTGTAATATTTCTCTTGTGATGATCACAGGTCGTTAGTTCTTTATTCTTGCTTTTATTGACTGTCCTGCCTCTTCTTTGTCTTTAGTCTTATGCTGGAAAATATGTGCCTGCCATTGGCTACTATATTCATACCCATAATGCTGCTGCAAAGATAAAGATCAACTTCAAGGGTATTGCCATTGGAGATGGTCTCTGTGACCCGGAAGTGGTATGCTATCTACCTATTGTATATTTTTAAATCCTTTTCAGATCTGAGTGGCCTGTGATTCTCAGACTGTGGGGCTAAAAAACAAAAGAGCCCTGTCCCAAATGACTTCCTAATGATCCTACCGAACACTATTAATTTTTGCCACATGTTCCTGAACATCAGCTTAGGAAATTAACTGCATAGAGTTAGGCTGCTTAAATCCCAGCCTTTGCAAACTACTACAAATATCACATACATCTCTCAGATGAATGCATAGATTTCTTTTTTAAAAAATTACAATGGTATTTTAGAGAACAGTATCCACAAATACTGTCCAGTTCAGTTTCTGTGTTCTCTTTGTACAGATGTTGGGTGGCTATTCACAGTTCTTGTATCAAATTGGTTTGGTGGATGAGAAGCAGAGGGAGTACGTCCAGCGGCAGACTGATCTGGGAGCAATCTATATTCGGCAGAAGAAATGGAGAGAAGCCTTTGAAGTATGTATTAGAGGCCCACATGCTGGCCTTCAGCAATTAAAACCATCTGAACACAGTAAAGGGGTCAGGAGGAAGCAGAAAGGAGGTCAGGAGCTTGGTGCTGGCAAACATGTCCATTATATTGCCGCAGAAAAGGGGGGTAAAAAAAGAGAATAATGGGAGAGAGGAATCGCTGTCCAGTGTTTCTTCGGAATTTACCTTGGCCACTTTTCAAACTGGAGTGCCTTTAGTGTATGTTTACACAGGCATCTCTTTCATGAATTTCTGTAGTTTCTCTAAGCCAGTGCTTGTGTGCCCTAAAGGTTTAGCTTATCCCCAGGAAATCAGAAGAAACGCAATCCTGGAACATGTTGCATACGCTAAAACACATGCACAAAACCCTTTATAGCCATAGATAATGGTTCCAACTTTTTGCCAAAAAGAAGAGGGGGGGAATGAAAGGCGGTCCCCCGTCATTGCTGATTGGCATTTTCAGTGAATCCTGCAACAGAATATCATGCTCCCCATCAAGTTAGATCCCAGAGTAGTGTTTTCATGCATGCTGCGAGTGTTAAAATGGGGCTTTCTCTCTGATTTTAGAGATGAGCCTTTTAAAATGTATATCTTATCATTGATCCTTTCATTTGACATCCTGCCCTTGGAAGGGTTCACCGCACTAATTTTATATCAGTCCCTAATATTCACTCATTTCATAAACATTGCCTATGGAGAAGGATCGCTCCAGCTTGGTGAGGGATAAAGAGAAACAGTGTCACAAGCTTACAGGTGAAGAGGACTTCTTTTCTCCCTCCTACTTGGGGGAGGCTGGGTGCAGGGTTTCTTTTCCCCCTGGTAAGGGTACCTCAGCTCCCAGAACAAAAGGCAAATCCATCCACTTGGTATGTCCTGCCTGTTGTGTACTCCGTCGTGCAGATGTTTAGTCATGGAAGATTGAATTGCATAAAGTCTTCTGCCTGTTTTAGAAACCATTAGAAACAATCACATGGGCAGCACTCAGTGAAAGGTAAGCTCTGTGGTTTGTCCTTCATTCTTGTGCATGGTTCTTTTCCCACAGGTGTTTGATGTTCTTTTGAATGGGGATGAAACTGGAAGCCCTTCCTATACTCAAAATGTTACAGGGTGTACCAACTACTTCAACTTCTTGCAGTGCCAGGTAAAGGCTGCAGTTTGCTGCACACACTGGAAATACTGGTTTGGGGGCCGTCAACGTCAAAAACACTTGACAAGCTGGTAACTAGCAGCAGTTGACTTTAGTGTGTTTGGGGAAAGGCCTCTTTTGTTTTTGCTTGTTTTGCTAAAAGCTAAGCAGATTGAGCTTTGCTAGAATGAGGACTGTATGGACAATTATGCACCTGCTGCCTAGAAGAAGAGAAGAGATTGGATTTATACCCCGCTCTTCACAACCCAAAGGTGTCTAAGAGCGGCTTACAAACTCCTTTCCGTTCCCTTCCCCACAACAGACACCCTGTGAGGTAGGTGGGGCTGAGAGAACTCTGACAGAAACTGCTCTTTTTCAAGAACAGCTCTTATCAGAGCTACGGCTTGCCCAAGGTCATCCAGCAGGTGCAAGTGGAGGAGTGGGGAATCAAACCCGGTTCTCCCAGATTAGAGTCTGTGCACTTAACCACTACACCAAACTGGCCTAGGAGAAATAAGGGGGAATTGGAATTCTAGCAGTGTGCAAATAGCATCATCTATCTACAGAGAATATCTGTCCTTGCATATCGCACTCTCTGCATGCTATGAGCAGGACAAGCTCATGCTTCTGCAGAAAGGGATGCGGCTGTACCTTTGTTTCTTGGAGGATGGGTCTGTTTAAATTTATAAGCCATGGTAGCTATGATGGATCTCTGCATTGCAAGGCAATGTGCTTAGGAAGACCAGGTGCTTGGGGATAAACAGCAAGGGGAGGGCTGTTGCTTTCAAGCCCATCTTAGGGGCTTCATGAAGGCACTTGGTTGGACACTGCAGGAAACAGGATATAGGAGTGGGTGCGTCTTAGGTTTGACTGGGCAGAGCTGTTTGGATGTTCTTGAGGAAAATACTGTAAAGTGGAGGAGTTTCTATGGAATGAGGTCACATTGCCTGCCTTGAATGTTGTTCAGTACAAAGCCACACTGTCCAGGCAGTGAGAAATTGATCTGGATGCATTGTTCCACCAGCAGCAAACATCTTGCCTCCCTCCTCGTATTCATTACGAAGTGCCACCAGTTTTCATGACCTGCTGTTCCCCTCCCCTTATGAAACTAATAGGTTTGAATGTGTGAAATTACTTCAGCATGAAATGGCAGGGGTCAGTTAAGAATTCCCCACTTAACGTTGTGCTTTGCACACTTAGCTGCTGAAAAAACTCCTGTGGGTGGATAAGTTGAGCATATAATTTTATTATGTTGACTTCATTGTGCTGACTTCATGTTCTCTTTCTCCCCCCCTCCCCCCCACCAGGAGCCAGCTGATCAGGAATATTTCGGAAAGTTATTATCATTGCCAGAAGTAAGGAAATCTATCCATGTTGGGAACTTGACCTTCCACGATGGGTCAGTAGTGGAGAAGCATTTGCTCGAAGATATAATGAAGACAATCAAGCCATGGTTAGCTGTTCTAATGGATTATTACAGGGTTAGTCATGTCCGCCAACCTCTAGTCTTTGACAGAAATTTTGTCTGTTTATGCCCTGCATTTCTTCCCAGGGGAGTTGTCTACAACATAATTCTTTCCTCCTTAATTCTCCGGTGGTCCAGAGTGGGGCAGTCCTTAAGTGAATACAAATCTTCCATTCTCAGTCAAACGCTTGGCCCAGCCACTTTTGGTGGGCATTGTAGCTCTTCTCAGAATTGTACTTTAACATATTTCATTGGCTGGGCATTATGACAGTCAACGAAGTGTAACTTTGTAGTACATACTATTGGATACTTTTGTACATTTCAAGTTGAGTGATGTAGCTCACAATTTTAATTTATTACAACTACATCCCACATTTCTTCCATTGTGAAACTGGTGGCTTATGTCTCTCATCTAAGACCCAGAATAAAGACCAAACCCAGAATAAACCAGGACTTCAGTGGCGCCTTAAAAGACTAGCAACATTTATTTCAGTATAAGCTTCTGGGAGTCAGATGCTGACTTCACCAGACCGGTGTGTCTTCAGCCAGTGCCCCCCAAACCATACCAGAAATGCAACCGGGTTCCTGGAAATCACTGGTACCTTTCCATCAAGATGCTTTGTGTGCATCGGGATGAGGAGGCCAGGCCAGGCTGAAACACCCTGCCTGCATGTACTGCACAGCTGGGACGCTCTCTTCTCTCCTAAGGTAAAGCTGTGCAAACATGTCCTACAGTTAATTGATGTTGGGAATGAAGACAGGAAAGATGTTTGCTAGAGTAAAATGTCTGGTATTTTGTGGGAAAGGGTGAATATCCTCTTGAATTTTTCTGGCCTTAAGCACGAGTTTACCTTTCAGGGGTGTAAAAGAAAAATGTAGAGGGTGGCGTTTTTTTGCTTCTCACTCAACCAAAACCAGATGGAGAATAACTCTCCTCATAATTCATTGTATAGGATTTGTGAAAGATGCAGCAGGGCATGAGGTAGCCACAGTGATGAATGCAGGGGCCCAGTGACCTTTTAAAAGAGCGCAATCACTTCTAGCAAATTTGGTGCTTAGGAATGCCTTCTGGAGCGATTCAGAAATTCTGCAGCAGACTCTGACACTCCATCAAACTTGCTGTCTCTCTGTCAAAATGTTGGCTCTGTTGGTTTTTCTTCTCCAGGTACAAGTTAATAGAGAATTAAGGGGGGGTGTGGAATACTGCACTGGATCCAGTCACCCCCTTCCTTAACTATGAGCTGTTCTTCCAACATTTTTCCTCTGACAGAGAACACGTCACTTTATGGAAGGGAGTTATTGGATTCAATTCAGAGTTATTTGGAAAATGCTCTTAGTAGCATGAAAACATGCCATTAACATCTGGTGGTATCTGATTATTTTTTGTCAAATCCTGTTGGTGTAGCTTATTGGCTGAAAATCCTGTACCTTTTGAACTTGTTGGATTTATTATTTATAGAAGAGCTGCCCCTGAGCCGGATAGCCCAGGCTAGACTAGTCTTGTCAGCTCTCAGAAGCTAAGCAGGATCAGCCTTGGTTATTACTTGGATGGGTGACCCTCAAGGAACACGCTAGTCAATCGCAAACTGCCTTTGAACACATCTTGCCTTGAAAACCCTATGGAGTCTCCATAAGTTGGCTGTGGCTTGACGGCAAAAGAAAGAGAGAGAGAGACATGATTAGAGTGTTGTTGGATCTGTAAAGATCTTATATGGTAGTTTTGTAATCCAGCATGTCATGAGTGGTAATGATGTAGCATAATGGGTCATGTTTCCAGAGCTAGAAGAAGTGATAAATGCAAAGGTGGCTTAAATGATGAAGATACCGACTTAGTGTTCTGAAAAAAAAAACATTCTTCCTTGTTTAAAGCTGTTTCTAGCCCTCTTATTCAGCCGAGCTTCCTAAAGGTTACAAACTGCCTGCCACCCATCAAATAGAATGTCCAGGTGTCTGAAGGTTTATTGCAACATTTAATTGGGTTGGCTTTTTAAAAATGTTAACTGAGATTGGCCATCTTGCTGCAAGGTTATTAAAATTGGATAGGGGCTAAGCAGGACCCCTAAAGGGTTTCTAAAATTGAACAGAGGAAGCAAGCTTCTAATTTGTCTTAATTAAATCAAGGAAGCTCATTTATATTGATAATCAATTTGACCTCCTCTCATAAATTACCATATGCAATTTTAAAAGTTCTTAATTACCTTTTATTACTTTGCTTCTGACTTTTTACACCGATGAACGAAATGACATTTATTGTAACTTACTTAAATCTTAAACCACAACCCAGAGAGCCAGTTTGGTGTAGTGGTTAAATGCGTGGACTCTAATCTGGGAGAACTGGGTTTAATTCCCCATTCCTCCACTTGCAGCTGCTGGATGACCTTGGGCAAGCCATAGTTCTGACAAGAGCTGTCCTTGAAAGGGCAGTTCTTGAAAGAGCTCTTTCAGCCCCACTTACCTCATAGGGTGTCTGTTGTGGGGAGGGGAAGGGAAAGGAGTTTGTAAGCCGCTCTGAGACTCTGAGTGAAGGGTGGGATATAGATCCAATCCTCCTCCTCCAGAGAATTAGGTTGTTGGCCTGAAAGATTGGTTCTCAGGTTAAGTCTGGTAGTAAAGTAAAGGTAAAGGTTTCCTTGCTCGAAAGCCAGTCGAATCCGACTCTAGGGTTGCGCTGCTCATCTCCGTTTCAAAGCCAAAGAGCCAGCGCTGTCCGAAGACATTTCCGTGGTCATGTGGCCGGCATGACTAAACACGAAGGCGCACGGAATGCTGTTACCTTCCCACCGAAGTGGTATCTATTTATCTACTTGCAATTTCTTGCTTTCGAACTGCTAGGTTGGCAGGAGCTGGAACTAGAGACGGGAGCTCACTCCGTCATGCGGCACCCGGGTCTCGAACTGCTGAACTACCGACCTTCCACAGCCTGCAGTTCAGTGTCTTAACCACTTGAGCCACCGCATCTCCTAAATCTGGTAGTAGAGATTAAAAAATACTATGGATCAAAAGGGCCCTTATATAATCTGGAATGACCAGAGCTACCATGTTACTGTACTTGTGGTGGTGAAAACTAGGATCTAATAATTGGAGTATGCCACTGAGCACGACTTCCCAGGGCTGTGTGAGCCTTGGAGCCTCTTCGGAAAGGATGGGGCCTGGGGTTGCAACATTAACTGCAGGCAGGTTGAACTCTGCAATAAGTACCAGGACTCAGAGTGTAGCCTTCTAGCCTTGCCTGGTTGACAGCCTCTATTGTAATTCAGACTTGGACTTCCACCATCTTTCTTCAGACCTTGTTTCAGGCATGGTTGCCTGTGATTCCATGTGGGACAGTATTTAGTGTGTACCACTACCCTATTCCTGACTATGGCAGATTCTCTTGTCCTTAAAGTTTCTTCAACCTCCTCTCAAACATTTTGAATAAACACCCTATGACGGACCCCCACATCCACTTCCCTCCCTGAGAGGCAAGATTTTAGTTTTAATATTTTACCCCGCCCTCCCTTGCAAGCAGGCTTAGGGCAGGTCACAACAGGTCATTTCACAGTAAAAACAGTATTAAAATATACAATTTAAATCCAGTTTAAAAAAAAATCAGAATAAGATGGGAGACCGGTTCATGGTAGTCCAGAGTGTCTCCTGCATGGGTGCTGGATAGATGGTCAGTCAGGCATCCAATACGTCAGAGGATGCAGTGCAGATCTCTTTAGCACTGTAGGGCCATTAAATAGGGCCGTATGAGCAGGGGAGGCTGAGATGGTTGAATGTCTGCTGCCTCAGCTGAAGGCCTGGTGGAACAGCTCCATTTTACAGGCGCTGCAGAATTGTAATAAATCCAGCAGGGCCCTGATCTCAGGTGGGAGCATGTTCCACCAGGCCATTTTTCTTTCCCTTTCTGACTGAGTATGTTTTCTTGTTTCCTGAAGAAACTTTGGCTGTCCCACCCTGTGTCAGTAATTTTACTGCTGGCTCAGTCCAGGAACCTGAGGGAAGAGTTGGGATCACCCTTTAACGTAAACCACTGAAAATGGTATGTGCTGCCCCCGGCAGAGTTTAGAATAGTAAACACAGCAAGTTGTACTGTATCTTTAAGATTGTGGGAAGTGTAGTTTCAATAAGGTCAGCTGGTTAGGAGTAGCCTTTCTGATTGGTTTATATAACCTTCCTTTCCTTTGATACTTTTACCCAGGAGAAACTGTTTATTGCTCTCTTCCTTTTAGTTTGTTTTTGATCTTCCTGGCTAGCAGGACTAAACTCAGGACTAAAGCTCTTAACAGCTAATGAATAGGAAATGTAAAACTGAACCTTTGGATGCTTGAGAGTTGATTAAGTTGAATCCAAATGAGTGAAGACTGTGTGTTAAATACTTAGCCGTTCTTAAGAGCCAGCTCAGGCTGCCAGGAACAGCATATGGCTCTTGAGACATTTTGCAATTCAAAATTAACAAAATATTTGATTCAACATAGAGGGAAAAGGTCAGGTGAAATCAGGGGTTGAAATTTCCAAGATAATTCAATATAGATAACTCTCAGGTAAAACTAGTAACACCACAGTCTTTAGTTCTTATGTTTCAGGCTAATGAGGGTTTCTTAAGCTATTCACAGTTACTTAAAATAATTATGTTGAGAGGCTTTGTTTCAGTGTTTCCTCAAACACTCCAATATACTTTCTATGAGTATTCACTGACTCTTTTAGTTTCCAGAAGTCTGGTACACTCTCAGAAGTCTGGTACGCTCTTTCCAGTACCCAAACCTCTTCTCTTGAAACACGGGTACTTTTCTTGAGTTTTTAACTGACTCTTAAGGTTTCTACAGGCAATTTCTAACCAGACCAGACCAGGGATCTCTGCACTCTTCAGAGTTATCACCCTGTTTCGACTGGGTAGGGAAATTCCTTCTCTGTCTAGATCTATCCCCTATCTTTGGCCCGAATGGGAGTCTTCACCTACTTCCCAAACTTCCTTGCCAACTTTCCTCTAGCTTTCCATTTGTGTTAAAGTGCTCTCAGCTAAGGCTGAAATCA